AAATCTGTTTTATTAGAATACAGCTCACTTAATGCTTAAACTGGACCTGGCTTTACATTCTTAATGTATTAACTTTTTTCTCAAGGTATGAACTTATTCTCTTGAAACTGAATCTTCTTTTACTACTTAAATCATTTATGTATATCTGGTAAATTATGACCAAATTTGTTGTTAGATTGCATACAGTAAATTGAAATATACACTTGGTACACTACAGAATTGTTGTGCTTTTGTTCTGGTTATATTTTGAAAACAGGGTTTAATATAGATTTGAGTGTAACTTATAAATATTCAAACCTTCTTATAATTGATTGGTCTTAGACTCTTCTGTTGTACTGTGACAATCTTTGTTTAACTGTTTGTCAGAAATTGTTTTCTTAATATAACATGAGATGCTCTTTAGTCATCTGATGTGAAATGGATAAGTACAGGAGATGCACTTGTTCTTACAGCTGAGAAGTGAAGGAGCTTCTTCGGAACAGTTAAAAACCTAGATTCTCTAAGCTGATTGCTCAGTATTTTTCATTTTAAATACAGGCAGTCCCCGGGTTACATGGATCCGACTTATATCGGATCCCTACTTACAAACGGGGTGAGGCAACCCTGCACTAGCTGCTTCCCCTCAGCAGACCAGGGAGACGCGGAGCAGCTTTTCTCAGCAGACACCTCAGCTTGAGAATAAAGGACTAAGGGAAGTGAGGTGTGGGAGAATAAAACTGAGCTCTGGAGAAATGTTTGGCTAGAGTTTCCCCTACAATATGTACCAGTTCCGACTTACATACAAATTCAACTTAAGAACAAACCTACAGTCCCTATCTTGTACGTAACCCAGGTACTGCCTGTAAAGGAAAGTAATGGGAGGCTGCAATTTAGTAAAATAGTGAAAAGGTGGATTTGTTTAGTCACCTTTATACAGCATAAAGAAGGGCAAACCCAGTCTCCCCTCAAAACCTTTATTTTTGCAAGCTGCCTAGAGTGCAGAAAAGGTTTATTTTTCAAAGCCGCGATAACTACTCTTTAGAAACTTGGACACTTCTTTTTAGCCATTTGTTTGTGAAGCAGGATAACATTCATAGGATGCAGACACATACAATTTTTTTATTAGTAATTTAATTATCTTTATCAAATTAGATATGCCACAGCTAAAATACATTTACACTGGTCATAAATTGTTCAAATATTAACAGCATAGAGTAAGAGTACAATGGGAGCATCTTCCCATTGTAATATTAAAAGGTTTAAAATGGAAAGATGGACTCTTGTTCCATAACAGATGAAATTCAGCTAGGAATCTTATGAGAGTTAATCTGTCATTTTTTCCAAAGTAAATTTAGTGCTTGTCTAAATTCTGGAGACTGATCCACTTGATCCTCAATAAATACACCATTCACAAGCAGAGTGCACAGAAGAAGCAGGCAAAGACGTATGATGGGATCAGCAGTAGTCCTGCCTGAAAGCAAAGGAACTTACCTGGGTAGTCTAGAAGGTCAGGAAGACCAACAACAGACCTAGTGCTTCCCCACAGATCTCTTTTGCAACTAACTTCATGCCATATGTGGTAGAGACCCCACCAGTGCCCAACAGGAAAAACTGAGGAACCCAAGACCATCTCTGATGTGAAAAGGGGCAAGTGGGATGTAACTGGGAATTCTGTTACCAGTTCCACCAAACAAGTGCAGATGAACCCAATGAAGGGGAAGGGAACTTGGGTAAGTTGGTGTGTGCATTTTTTTCTTACAATCTTTACATTTAAAGATGATGCCCATCCCATTCCCAAATTAACAGGACAGATATAAACATTTCATGATTTACTCATAAGAAGAGGTAGAGTTGGCATCTGCATTTTTTCCCCTCTTGGGTTGTGGAGAGGGAATGTAGAGCACTTTGTTAGAGTACATTGAGATACTATGCAATCCTTATTATTAAAATATTTAAAATTCTGCATACAGTTATCTAAAATTCTGCAGATTTTTCAGAATAGCACACTCATCATGCAAGTTTCAATTATTTTTGTAATTTTATTTCATAATACCTGTTAGTAAATATGTTTGGAACAGAGCAAAAAATATTCAGGAAATATTTTTGACAAATAGATTTCTTACTAGGCATATTGATACAGAACTTTTTAAAAAACTACATTACAGAAACCTATTTCTTGCACCTCTCAGAAGCTGTGCAAAGGGATAGGGGCATTAGGGATAATAGAGAAGCTGACGGAGAGGGATGTAACTGCTTGGAAGGAGACAGTGAGTGAACCTGAAAAAAATATTCAGGAAATATTTTTGACAAATAGATTTCTTACTAGGCATATTGATACAGAACTTTTTAAAAAACTACATTACAGAAACCTATTTCTTGCACCTCTCAGAAGCTGTGCAAAGGGATAGGGGCATTAGGGATAATAGAGAAGCTGACGGAGAGGGATGTAACTGCTTGGAAGGAGACAGTGAGTGAACCTGAA